CTCCATGCAATAAGGGTGTCGCAAATGAGTGGGTTATGTTTTAATGGAGGTGACAAAGAGTTAACGTTGGAATGTAATAAGGCCGCAAGATCATGAGGATATACTAGTGCAGATTCCAATTGATGATTAGAGTAATTGGAGGATTGTGTGAGCCAGTCTAGGCCTATCCTAAGTAAACAGGAAAGATTATAGATGCAAATATTCGGGGACCGGAGCCTCCCTCGCATCTTGGTAGGAATAGTTTATCAAGTGCTATGCGGGGATGTTTGCCTTTCCATAAAAAAGTTGATATTGCCTGATTTAGCCTCGTTACGTCGCTGTGTTTAAGCAAGAGAGGAGTGGTTTGGAGTGGGTAAAGAAGTTTCTGAAAGCTGACCATCTTAAAAAGGTGCAATCTGCCCAGGAGTGAGAGCGGTAGGTCCTTCCACATATCCAGTTCCCCAATAATTTTGGCAATCATTGGTGTATAATTTAGTGTGTATAAGGATGAAGCTAGTTTCCCTATCTTTATACCTAAATAGGTGATATATTTGGGAGCGATTTTGAATGTTGAGTTTTCGGTCCATACCGGGAGGCGGGAGTGGAATAGGGCAAGCACCTCGCTTTTAGAAAAATTAATGCAAAGTCTGGAGCAAAGGCGAAAAGAGGAGAAAATTTTTTGGATATAGGGTAAGTCAAGGGAAGGGTGCGAGGTAAAAATTAAAATATCATCTGCAAATAAGGCGAGTCTCAGCTCCTCTTTCTCGATATTAATGCCATGGAGATCGGAATGAAATAAGAAAAAATGTGCTAACGGTTCTAGGGCCAAATTGAAAAGTAACGGGGATAGAGGGCACCCCTGTTTAGTGCCTTTGTGGAGCGGAATGGGGTTAGATACATGATCCGCTGTTAAAAGTCGGGCTGTTGGAGACGAGTACATGGTTTGAATTAGATGCATAAATGGGCCTTCAAATCCGAACTTTTTTAGCGCTAAGAAAAGCCATTCAAAACTAACATTGTTGAAAGCCTTTTCGGCGTCCAATCAGATTATTGCCACATCTAGTAGCGTGTCATTCGAGGCTTGATGCAAAGCGGCTATCACCTTCCAAATATCCGAGGCTGCCGAGCGACCCTGCACAAAGCCCGCTTGTGAAGGATGAATAAGAGAAGGTAAAATTGTTGCTAGGCGAGAGCGGCGATAATTTTTGACAAGAGTTTGGCATCAAGATTCAGCAGAAATATAGGACGATACGAGCTAGGTTCTAGTGAGTCTTTATCTTTTTTGGCAATCAATTTGATATAGGCTTGGGAGCCGGAGGGGAGATACTCTCCTTCTGTCTGAATGTTCTGGAACACTGATTGTAATGTAGGAGAAAAGGGTTTCAACCGTTAACTTGTAAAATTCGGCTGTATAGCCATCGGGACCCAGAGCTTTACCGTTTGCAAGTGACTTAATAGCTAAAGATACATCCGCTAGAGTAATAAGGGCATTTAAGGCGTGAAGCGAGGTGGGGTCTAACCGCGGCAGTGAGACAAGATCTAAGAAGGAGGTAGTTTTAGTAATGTCGATAGGATCCAGGCCATAGAGAGTATGGTAAAAGTTCTCTAAAACAGATATAATATCTAGGGGATCGGATTTCAGTATTCCCTGCGCGTCTCTCAAAGATGTAAAAAGAGTAGGTGTAAATGGCTTTCTACACAATCGTGCTAATAACTTGCCCGGCTTTTTGCCAAATTTATGAAATTGCAGATCGGTATGAGATTGGTGTACGGCCTCTTGGGCCGCTGCCCATGTATCAAATGCATGCTTGGCCTCTGCCCATGCAGTCCTATTTTCGTGGGAATTGAGCTGCGCTAAATTTTGCTGTGCTTGTTTTATTCGGAGGCTAGCTGCTGAGTAGTTTCGGAGAAGGTTTTTCTTGTAGGTTGAAGTGAATGCTATGATTCTGCCATGTAGAACCGCTTTGCCCGTCTCCCAAAAGAGATTAGGGTTTGTTTGATGTTCCACATTTGTCTCTCAGAACTCGCTCCAAGTATCCTTCAACACTCAGAGCAGGTCCTGATTGTGTGCCAGAAAGGAGGGGAAACGCCAGGTGCGTGTGCGGTTTTTATTTTTCGCGTGTTGTATGGAGATGGAAATCGGGGAGTGATCAGAGATCACGGTCATGTATTTCAGAGTCCTTAATGTTTTGTAGGAGCATTTGGTTAACAAAGAAATAATCAATTCTGGATAGGGTATGATGTACGGGTGAGAAGGTGGTGAAGTCCCTTCCCTCCGGGTGTGTTAGTCGCTACGCTGAGAAGCTCCTCCGAGTGAGGCTCTCCCACCCCTCTGCTAGTGTATTTTGGGGGCACATATCCTCTGTTTGTAGGTCATTGGAAATTTGGGCAAAAGGCCAAAGTTTCTTGCCTTCATGCATTTGCAGCATGAAGGCCCCACTGCTGGCATCCTCCTCAGGCCCCGAAAATACTGACCTACTGCCAATTATCTTCCCATGCTGTGCTAGAGTGCCGAACTTGGTCTCAGAAAGGTATAGATGTGTACAGGCCTACACATATTGAGCTAATAACTGCCTGGCCACTACACTAGGATCCACATTGGAAGCTGTATTCCCAAAAACTGCTTGAGCATGTGTGATAAGGAAGCAAGCAATAGTACTTAAACTATTACTAAACCCACAACAGTCAAAACAGTGTAAATATGCAGTAAAGCATCCTTGTTATACTCGCTGTGTAACCTAAGGGGTTAATACTCTGTCTTGTTTAAAAAGGCTGTTTGATACTGTCTTCTCTGCCCCTCCTCTTGTTGAAATGACCACCTGATACAGACTGAATCCGTAGTCACATGCACATGCTCAGTTTGCTTTGCATTGCTATACTTTTTGGGTGTTGGTTTTGGGATGGGGCATGCGATCAGCACAGGGCCAATCAGCACTGTTCACATAGAGGGCCAGAAGATTCACGTCCTCCTAGAGCAGAAAGAAAAATACTCAAAGTTTAAACAGTGATCTGCTGAAGTCACAAGACTGCTCTAACTGGTGATGATAAAAGGTATTTAGCTGTTTGTATGGCCTTAAATACTTGCATTGCCATGTTCTGTTTACTGCGGGAGACCAGACAGAGTGAATTCTGGGTCCAGGGAGATCGGATATAGTCAGTGCAGCGTCTTCGTACACCAGATAGAGTGAATGCGGGCTTCGGGCTTTAGTTAAACTTTTAAGCCTGACATACATAGATTAAAAGGGAAGTACAGCCAAAGATTTCTTGCCTGTACCTCTTCTGTGGATTACAGAAGTGTAGTTCATTTGGCACTCCTGTGACACATTTTCAGGTAACAGCTGCAGTAAGTCCAATGAAGTCACACAGCATGGCCAGACTGGATCAAGATCACAACTTTCAAGTCATGATATACTACAGAATCTGGAGCACCAACTGGATCAGCCTAGCCACGAATAACAAAGAGTTTTAGCCTGCCGCTGCCTCCCCCTCCACAGCCCAGTAAGTGCTGGGGGGGGGGGGGGTTGAGCTGACCCACCATCTACATGTGATTGCAGATGTCACAGCGTGCCTGCTGTCCGAGAACTCCCCAGTGCAGCAGGATTCACACTTTTCCTGGCCATACAATGATAACCTCCCGCCGGGGGGGGGGGGGGGTTCTGGAGCATCGCCGCGGGTCCAGCCTCGGTGCAAGGCTTCCTGCGCCTGCACCCGCCGGAGACAAAGCCGTGCTCTCGAGAGCGTGGCCTGTGTCAAGGGGGCGTGGCTCATTGCCGGGCAACACGGCGCTGGGCTGGATGTTGCCAGGGCAACCGGGAGAGTCCTGCTCAGCCTTAAGAAGGACGATGCAGGATTCTCCCAGGTGTTCCATCCACTGCGAAGCTGCTGGGAGGTCTGCGCTGAGGCAAGACCCCCGCAGCCACTCTGCATAATACTCTAAGGATACCAGGATTATTACCTGCTGAGCAATCTGCATCATCCTTGGAGAGACTCAAGATTATTACTCACTGAACACTTTGCTAACACTCAGGGCTCAGGAGGAGTACCCGCTGCTACACTGCCTAATACTGTGAGGCCAGGATTGCATGTGTTGCAGTGTACTGCAGAAGTGGACACTCTGCTGTGTGCTGATGTGTCGCATCCTGTTGGCCACTGTGAGCCAGGAACACCCCTGCCGGAACTGTGAGTGTTTGTGCCCGTTTTCCCCCCTGTATGGACGGGCCGTGAACTCTCCCTCTTTTCCCTGCCCTGCCTGGATTACAATTTAACAGAGACTCAGTTTGCCCTTCCTGGGGCCGGATTACAATTTTTTTGGGAGCCATCCCTGCTCTTCCCCTGCTCCGGGAACTTGGACGCTACCTTCAGACCCAAATTGAGTGACTGTCCTAATTCAAAAAAGCTTTGTGTTTATCATCTGCTCTGTGTGTTCTGCCTACGCTCCGGCACAGCAGAGTTACCACCCTTAAAACCTAAGGGGGACAGATGAAGTATTGGACCAATGCTTCAACCACCTAGGTAAGTTGCAGTAGTGGAAACAAAAACAAGGCCGACTTGGATAAGAAGCTACAGTCCGGCCAATATTAATCAGTCAAATTAGCCTACAGCTATGGTCAGCATGATTGTACAGAAGGAAAATCACCAAACACATTGAAGGTATTTACAGTGGACCTGAGGGGGAGAGCACTCATCCCTCTCCTCTTCTTCCAGCTCACCCTCTTCCAATATGGCTGGAGCTACACAAACAAGAAAGAACAAAACCAACACATTGCAAACATCAAATTGACATAATGCACACAGAGAACAGGCAAGCACATCCAAGGCACTTACAGTGAGCTGGAGGTGAGGGGGCCTCCTGGTGTGGTGGAAATTCAGGAGGTGGCTGGTGGGCCTCCTCTTCCTCCTCCTCTGGAGAAAACCTTGCGGAAACTACACAAACAACAAGAACAGCAACTCCTTTGAGAGAGCCAAGGACAACAAGGAACACAGAGAACAGACAAGCACATTCAATGAACTTACAGTGTGCCTCAGAAGAGGTGCCCTCCTTATCAGGCTCCTCCTCTTCCAACATGGCTGGTGCTACATAAACAACAACATAGAACAGAACACATTGCAGACATCAAAGCTACATAATGCACACAGAGAATAGGCAAGCACATCCAAGGAACTTACAGTGAGCTGGAGGTGAGGGGGTCTCTGGCAGAATGGGTGACTGCGGTGAGAGCCGCGACTATGATGCTGACTCCTCCTCCACTGGATGCATCCTTGCTGGTACTACACAAACAAGAAAGAACAACAACAACCCCTTTGAGAGAGCCAAGGAACACAAAGAACAGAGAAGCACATCCAAGGCACTTACAGTGAGCTGGAGGTGAGGGCGTCTCCGGCCGAACTGGTGCCCGTCGTGGAGACAGGTGTGCCGCCGCCTCCTCCTTCTCCACGGGAGGCAAATTTGCCGGTACTACACAAACAAGAAAGAACAACATCTCTCTTTGAGAGAGCCAAGGACAACAAGAAACACAGAGAACAGACAAGCACATTCAATGCACTTACAGTTGGCATGAGAGGATGTGCCCTCCTCATCCTCCTCCTCCTCGTCCCCCTCTTCCAACATAGCTGGTGCTATATAAACAACAAGATAGAACACAACAAACAAATTGCAGACATCCAAGTTATATAATGCACACAGAGAACAGCCAATCACATTCAAGGCACTTACGGTGGCCCTCCTCTTCACTCTCTTGCTCTACAAAAAGAATAACACAGAATTGTAACATTACCAACCTAAAAACATGGCAGAAGTTTACCAATTTCTCACAAACCTGTGTGCCAAAGCTAAGGCCACAGGGCTGAATGACAACTGTCTATTTCCTGGTGTCAGGCCACACAACAGGCACAGTTGCGTTCGTGTCCCTAATTTGTTGTGTTTTGACTTTGGATGTACATCCACTGGGGCAGACTGCATCCTTTTCCACCGCACTACAGCAGATAGCAAGTCATGGTAGGAGGATGATTTGTTAATCTTGTTGATCATGTATTTGCTATGCAATGATCATTCGCTTCACCTGGAATGGTCCTATAAACTTCGGTCCCAGTTTTTTCGATGGGCACGGCCTCTTCAAGTTCGTTGTTGCCAGCCAGACCTGATCTCCTCCTGGTTGCAATACCAGTTCCCCCCTTCTCTTTCTGATGAAGGCATTCTTGTTATCTTCTTGCGCTTTTGCAATAGCCCCTTGAAGAACTTTGTTGTTGACAGCAAAAAAACTCAACGTGCTTTGAGTCGCAGGAACTGAACTTTCGGGCATCAAATCTGGTAGGAACGTGGGATGGAACCCAAAATTAGCAAGAAACGGAGATTGCCCCATAGCTGAATGATTCGCGTTGTTATAGACTAATTCCGCCAATGGCAACAGTGTCAGCCAGTCGTCCAGCAGATAAAAAGTTTGATTCGTCCTTTCCGTCTGCCCATTTGTCTGTGGCTGATAAGTGGAAGAAAGAGACAATCTGATTCCCAATGCTTCACATAATGCTTTCCAGAATTTCGAGGTAAACTGGACTCCCCGGTCTGACACGTCTTCAGGAACTCCATGCAATCTTACCACTTCCTTTATAAAAATTTTTCACGGTTTCCGGAGCCGATGACGTATCTTTTAGAGGTATGAAGTGGGGCATCTTTGATAAGCGATCCACAATTATGAAAATTGCCGTGTGGCCTTGCGATGGAGGAAGCTCGACTATAAAGTCCATGGCAATGATTTACCATGATCGATCGGGTATAGGCAATGGGCGTAGCAAACCCCAGGCCTTGTTCCTGGAGGGTTTGTTCCTCTGGCAGGTGGCACAAGTCTTGACGTAGAGCTAGCAGTCTTTGATCATACTTGGCCACCAAAATGTGCGTTGAAGTAATTCTAGGGTCTTTGCTATTCCGAAATGGCCTGCCATCAGGTGGTCGTGGCAGTGACCCAGGACCAATGTTCGGACCTCCTCTGGCACTGCGATTAGGCCTTCCTTCCATAAGAGCCCTCCCTGGCTCTGGAGGGATACCCCAGGTGGGTCTGGCATTCCCACGGATGCGTCTTGTAGCCTGGTGCGTAGCTCCGTCTGGAGAGCGAGAAAGTTCCCAGAGGGCAGGATCGTGTCAGGCTTAGGAACGTCTTCAGGGTCTTCAAACATGCGTGAAAGGGCATCAGGTTTTGTATTCTTGGAGCCTGACCGGTACGTAATGTGGAAGGAAAACCAGGAGAAAAAGAGTGCCCATTTTGCCTGGCGTGGTCTCAAACGTTTTGCTGTTATCAGGTATTCCAAGTTCTTGTGATCGGTAAAGATTAGGATTGGGTGTGTGGCTCCTTTCAGCAGATATCTCCACTGCTCCAGTGCGGTCTTAATAGCCAAAAGCTCCCGATCCCCAATGTCGTAGTTCCTTTCTGCCGGTGTCAGTTTCCTCGAGAAAAATGCTACTGGATGCAGGAGCTCCTTGGTGCCCTTCCTCTGGGACAGGACTGCCCCTACCGCATTTTCTGAGGCATCCACTTCTAAGACATATGGTAAGGATGAATCGGGGTGACTGAGAATGGGAGCGGAGGTGAACAGTTTCTTTAGGGTTTCGAAAGCTGTTTGAGCCTCAGGCGTCCATTTAAAACAGACTCCCTGTTTGGTCAATTGAGTGATGGGGGAAACCAGACCAGAGAAGTTTCTGATAAATTTTCTATAAAAATTTGAAAACACGATAAAGCGTTGTACGCCCTTCTTATCTGTGGGTATTGGCCAATCTAAAATTGCTGCGACCTTCTGTGGATCCATCTCAACCCCCGTGGTGGAGATGATCAGTCCCAAGAACGCAATACTATGCTGTTCGAAGCTGCATTTGTCAGCATTGGCATACAGACCATGTTGGCCTAAACGCTCCCAACACACTTGCCACATGACCCCGATGAACCTAAAGTGAAGAAGAGAAGATTTAAGATGTCATCCAAATAGATGACCACGAAAACATCAAGATAATCACGAAAAACATTGTTAATTAAATGCTGGACCGTGGCTGGGGCATTGCAGAGTCTGGATGGCATGACTAAATATTCGAAAAGGCCGAATCGAGTACGAAAGGGCGTTTTCCATTCGTCCCCTTCCCTGATACGAACCAGATTGTATGCCCCCCTTAAATCTAGTTTAGTAAAGATCACTGCGGATTTTAGTCTCTGGAAGAGTTCGGGGACAAGGGTAATGGGTAGCGATTCTTTATCGTGATCTTATTTAGATCACGATAATCGATATCTTATTTAGATCACGATAATCGATGCAAGGCCGTAAAGACTTATCTTTCTTCTCCACAAAGAAAATTCCGGCCTCAGCTGGAGACGTGGAGAGACGAATGAATCCTTTCCGGAGGTTCTCATCAATGTACTCCTTAAGCACCCCTAATTCCAGCTCAGACAAGGGGAAGATTCGACCAAATGGAATCTCTGAACCGGGCAGGAGGTCTATGGGACAGTCATAAGTTCGGTGTGGTGGGAGGACGTCTGCTCCCCGTTTGCTGAAGGTGTCCAGAAAACTATGGTAGGCTGGGGGAATCGACTGAGTCAGGTCAGCGTCTCCGTCTGTACATAGGAGGAGTTGGGGAGCCACGGGCCCCGAGGCATGGCAGTGTTTCTGACAGTACGGGGATTGGAACTGAACTAATCCATTCTCCCAATCAATCTGGGGGTTATAGGCCCCAACCAAGGAATCCCCAGATTGAGTCCCAGCTGCATGGGTTCCGTGGCGTCCACGGGCTCCAAGCTCCGAATATCGCCCAACGGGGGTTGGGCTGCTCCCCGCGGAGGTATCCAAGTTGCCCTTTGACCCTGGCTGGTCCTCTCAAACTGGCATTCCCGTAGCCTGCGGTCTATCTGGCCAACGCAATGAGCTCCTCCAATGAGTCGGGAAGGCCTACCCGGGCTAACTTGTCTTTTAACCCTTCGGAGAGTCCGATGCGGAATTGGTGGCGTAGAGCAGCGTCATTCCACCTGGTATCCCCCATCCATCGTCTGAATTCAGATGCATACTCCTCTGCCGCCCGGCGGCCTTGTCTGAGGGAATATAAGGCCGTTTCTGCGGAGGTTATTCGCTGCGGGTCATCATATAATATGGCCATTGCATCAAAAAACTCTGTCACTGATTCCAGATGGGGGTCGTGGTTCTCCATCAGACGGTGAGCCCAGTCCTGGGGTTCATCCTGGAGCAAGGAGATAATAAATCCCACCTTAATGGTCTCTGTGGTAAACGTGCGTGGCTGCAGGTTAAAAAAAGAAGGCACGCATTCCGGTAGGCTCAGAATCGTCCCCAGTCCCCGCAGAAGCGTTCTGGCAATGGCACGTGGGGTTCTGGAGTAGGTGGTGCGGCTACCGCTCCAGGAGCTGGATCTGAAGATTCCCCTGATGGAGCGGGGGTAGCTGGACTCTGGGCGGAGGGAGCAGGTGTGACTAGTGTCTCCATGCGATTCTCCAAGTGCGTGTATCGGTCGTGTAACGTCTGGACGGCCTGGGTTAGAGCCGCCAGGTGCTGGCATATATCCTCTAGGGAGGCTGGTCCTCTTCCAGGATTACAGATATAAGAGTGCAGCGCTATAAGTCCCTCATCCACAAAAATGTACTATATGAAAAATATGTAAACAAGAGTATGCAGCGCTAATAAAGCTAATAAGATCAAGTGGAAAATCAGATACATAAGTTGCACAATGGTATAAGCGAGAAAAACTCAGTCCATATTAAATGGTGAGATAAAGTGATAAGGTGCAATTGTCCAAGCAAACCATGGTCAGAAATAGTCGTGACTCTTGTGTTCTTGTGAACGTACAAATAATGCACTAACCAGATAGCGCATGAGGTGCGCGTGGAGCAATTAAGACCCGCTCCCCGGTGCTCTGGACTTGTGATATCAGGAGGATGTCATCTACAGGTTTAGCCACAAGATGTCATCAATCCAGGTATATTCGTAAGTCATCCACCAGGAAAATCATCAGCGGGGGAGGGGGGAATCACACATCACTCCAAACCAGCAGGAACCTTCAAAAGCGGGCTCCCATGCAAATAGATGAGACCCAAAGAAGCTTCTAATAGTGTAGTATTTCTTTAATTGGCAAAAAATTCAGCATGCACAGATAACAGATAAAACTTACATCCAGGACAAGATCTGGCCACCAGGGTGTCAGTCAGGATAGCCTTGTAGTATATGTACACAGGTCAGGGGCACCTCCCTAACGCGTTTTGTGTGAATAACTCCCTCTGCTGGTTTGGAGTGATGTGTGATTTCCCCCCTCCCCCGCTGATGATTTTCCTGGTGGATGACTTACGAATATACCTGGATTGATGACATCTTGTGGCTAAACCTGTAGATGACATCCTCCTGATATCACAAGTCCAGAGCACCAGGAGCGGGTCTTAATTGCTCCACGCGCACCTCATGCGCTATCTGGTTAGTGCATTATTTGTACGTTCACAAGAACACGAGTCACGACTATTTCTGACCATGGTTTTTTTTTTTTTGGACAATTGCACCTTATCACTTTATCTCACCATTTAATATGGACTGAGTTTTTCTCGCTTATACCATTGTGCAACTTATGTATCTGATTTTCCACTTGATCTTATTAGCTTTATTAGCGCTGCATACTCTTGTTTACATGTTTTCACTGGGTTCCAAAGGTTACCTCTTATGCTAGCTGCTTTGCATTTATGTTCCCAGCGCTCGATTTTCCATTTTATATATGAA